TTTTAGGAATTTAGGAGTTAGACATTAGATCAGGTGTGTAGCTGTGTGGGAAGACACCTGTAGTGACACACTACCTATATATCTATATAGATAGCGGGAGTGGTGGTGGCTTAGGTCATTTCAAAAATATGTTTAGATTATATTTCCTTATATTTTACAGAAAGTTGGATGATCTCAACATTGATTCAGGAGTAGATGCCATTGGGTAATTGAGCCAGTTCTACAGGAGAGAAAATATTGTGGATTGTATTACCTGTGTTGTATCCTAATAATGTTAGATCTAGGTCAGGTATATGTTGTATTACCTGTGTTGTATCCTAATAATGTTAGATCTAGGTCAGATATATGTTGTATGCCTGTGTTTTATTGTAAATCTTTGATTCACATGTGCCCGTGTTGTATTGTAAATCTTTGATTCACATGTGCCTGTGTTGTATTGTAAATCTTTGATTCACATGTGCCTGCATGTGTAGCATTCTAATAATTCTTTATTCAGCAGAGCCATTTAAGATTGCGTTGATATTTGCTGTGTTGTGTTGTAAAATGTACTTATTTACATGAGCCTGTGTTGTTTTCAGGCTTGGCTGGATGTAAATTTAAATATTGTGTTGACTAATTTATCTTCATCAGGTCAAGATAAAAGAGAAAAGCGTTTATATGGTATTTGTCACAGGTATGAGTGAAATCTTCACAATGTTGTGGCCCTAGGAAATGGATTGAGAAACACAAAAATGTTTAGTCATTATAAATTTTTTTCTGATGAAAGAAAATCACCTATTTATCACTTTTACACTACTAGATCAAATTCTAGCCAGCTATTTACTACTAGCTGTGACAACTTACTACAATGACGTCTGATTATTCTGTTCAGCAAGTTTTTGCAACTAAGATACATTAGGAAAGTCATTGTGTCCTCCAGTTAACGGTAACTTGCCAACTTCAATCGTTTACTGAAGATAGAGATTTCTTTATATTTATGTATTAACATTTCTCCCTGAACTTCTGAAGGTTCCATTAGTCCCAGCCCACAATTTATTTCTTCAATAACTTATTATTTCACAGACTTGTGAAATAATATCACTGAAGTTTGTTAACGATTGAGAATTAACTCTGTGTATTTAATGGATGTAATTACTACTTAAACAACTGTCCTTGGATAGCCATTAACTTTTGTTGTATTGTATAGCCTAACATCTTGGCCTTGTCTTCAAATAAAATGGACTTAATTCCTTTATTACATAACCCAGAATAATTCATATCTGGTGAATTATTTTTTCGAATTTTGACAATATTTACAAATTTTATATGAAAACCCAAAGATGAGGCAGTATAAAACCCTCTATGATAATTTTCCATTTATACCTCAATATTTCTAATGTCACCATGACAACCAAATTATAACCCAATTTATAATTATCTCTCATGTGACTGTAAGATACTGTTTTTAAACTTTGAGTCAAACTTGTTAAGCATAATCTGATGTGCGATATGATGTTTACTGTATGACAAGAGACACTTGTAGCCTGTCACCATTATGAGATGTACATATATACAATGGTATAGTCACGGTTTGTTTTATATCTAAAACCAAATTTGTATTTTGCAGCTAATTATTTCGTGGACCAATCCAAAAACAGCCAAGCATTCAGTCTGCACTGTTTTGAGTTAAATGAGGTATAATGAAGCCATAAACAGTTTAAACTGATTTGCCGAAAAATAAAAAATAAATGTTTAGTCATTATAATTTTTTTTCTGATGAAAGAAAATCACTTATTTATCACTTTTACACTACTAGATCAAATTCTAGCCAGCTATTTACTACTAGCTGTGACAACTTACTACAATGACGTCTGATTATTCTGTTCAGCAAGTTTTTGCAACTAAGATACATTAGGAAAGTCATTGTGTCCTCCAGTTAACGGAAACTTAATTGCCAACTTCAATCGTTTACTGAAGATAGAGATTTCTTTATATCTATGTATTAACATTTCTCCCTGAACTTCTGAAGGTTCCATTAGTCCCAGCCCACAATTTATTTCTTCAATCGAACCTCAGAGATCACTGATGGAACAACGTACGGCTTGTACTTAACTCGAACCTCGGAGATCACTGATGGAACAACGTACGGCCTGTGCTTACTCGAACCTCGGTGATCACTGATGGAACAACGTATGACCTGTACTTACTCGAACCTCAGGGATCACTGATGGAACAACGAATGGCCCGTACTAGCTCGAACCTCGGAGAGCACTGATGGAACAACGTATTTTACTGAAGATAGAGATTTCTTTATATCTATGTATTAACATTTCTCCCTGAACTTCTGAAGGTTCCATTAGTCCCAGCCCACAATTTATTTCTTCAATTGAACCTCAGAGATCACTGATGTAACAACGTATGGCCTGTACTAACTCGAACCTCGGAGATCCCTGATGGAACAACGTACGGCCTTTCCTTACTCGAACCTCAGAGATCACTGATGGAACAACGTATGGCCTGTACTAGCTCGAACCTCGGAGATCACTGATGGAACAACGTATGGCCTGTACTTACTCGAACCTCAGAGAGCACTGATGGAACAACGTACGGTCTGTACTTACTCGAACCTCAGCGGTCACTGATGGAACAACGTATGGCCTGTACTTACTCGAAACTCAGAGATCACTGATGGAACTACGTACGGCCTGTACTTACTCGAACCACAGAGATCACTGATGGAACAACGAATGGCCTGTACTTACTCGAACCTCCGAGATCACTGATGGAACAACGTACGGCCCGTACTTACTCGAACCTCAGAGAGCACTGATGGAACAACGTACGGTCTGTACTTACTCGAACCTCAGAGATCACTGATGGAACAACGTACGGCTTGTACTTAACTCGAACCTCGGAGATCACTGATGGAACAGAGATGTCTGGTGTTTTGCTTTTTCATTTTTCGGCAAATCAGTTTAAACTGTTTTTGGCTTCATTATACCTCATTTAACTCAATACAGTGCAGACTGAATGCTTGGCTGTTTTTGGATTGGTCCACGAAACAGTTAGCTGCAAAGTACAAATTTGGTTTTAGGAATAAAATAAAATGTGATTATACCATTGTGTATGTACATCTCATAATGGTGACAGGCTACAAGTGTCTCTTGTCATACAGTAAACATCATATCGCACATCAGATTATGCTTAACAAGTTTGACTCAAAGTTTAAAAACAGTATCTTACAGTCACATGAGAGATAATTATAAATTGGGTTATAATTTGGTTGTCATGGTGACATTAGATATATTGAGGTATAAATGGAAAATTATCATAGAGGGTTTTATACTGCCTCATCATTGGGTTTTCATATAAAATTTGTAAATATTGTCAAAATTCGAAAAAATAATTCACCAGATATGAATTATTCTGTGTTATGTAATAAGGGAATTAAGTCCATTTTATTTGAAGACAAGGTGGCGCCCAATAATAACGTTAATGTACACTACAGCTGCTCGGCACCATAAACACTATCTGGAAGGCCTTCCTACAACAACGCCTTGTGACTGCTAAGCACAGTGTTGGGTTAAGGCTATCAGAGTTGTCTCCCTTGAACTGCATGCAACAGTTTTCATATGACCTTCTTCAAGTTTTGATGACTTTTTTGACAGAAACATTCCATTTTCGCAGATAAATGTCAAAACATCCCCAAAAATGAACAGTTGAGAAAGTTGATCACATCCTTGATATCTTTCACAGACTTTTATAACAGTGGTCTATGATACTGGTCTAGGGTCATAACTAATTGGTATTTTATTTCATGGGGAAAATTTCTCCGAAAATTTTGAAATACACTTAAATTTATACATAAAAAAAAAAAGAAATTGAAAAGATGTATTTTTTATCTTATTACTCTAAATAATCAAATTCTAAAGAATTAATTATTTACTTCCTCTGATTTCAATGTAATATTCTGCATATTTGTTCTAAGATATATAAATTGATGAACAGTTATTAGGGACTCTTGATCAATGATAGAAACTATATCTTACAATAGAAAATGTAACCAGATCAACGTTTTTTTCAGAAATCGGGGAAAAAATCTCCACACCTGATTATGTTATATGCTATTAACTCATTCACCCCTGAAATTTAAAAATGAACTATTCCAACATTTGAATTGGAAGAGTTCAAACGTGTCTTCAGGGGTGAATGAGTTAACCAATGAAAGGAAAAACAATGAAAAAATGTGTTTAGATCTTATTTATAAAAATCCCCTACATTTAACTTTTGTACCAGACTTTGTGACCTTGACCTTGCAAACCACCTTACAAAGATAATTGTAACATGAAAATGTTTTCAATCAAAACCTTTCGTCCCAATGTTTGTCACTGAACTTTGACCTAAAGCAGACCACCCTGTAGTGGTTGGAAATATGTGTCAAGGAAGTCCATTTAACTACATTTTGTGAATTAGAATTAGTATTCTAATTCACCTGCTAATTCTCAACGCCAAATTATAGAACCACCGGCGGGATTTGAGGATGCCCTACCGGCTGGTTCCAGGGAGGGTAAGCAAAAAGACTCCACCCCTGAAATCCACCAGTTACTTTTACTGAAGTGACCTTAACCATTGAATATAAGTATCATGAATTAGCCCTAAAATCTAAACTATTGTTTATTGATTTTAACTCATTGACACCTGAATACACATTTTAACTCTTCCAATTCAATGGTTGGAATAGTCCACTATGAAATTTCAGGGGTGAATGAGTTAATTCAATAAGATGACCAGCATTTGACTCTCTGATCGATTGGACATGAATAGAACACCTCCGCTGCTCAACCATCAAGTTTTCTCAAGATCAATCCTGTTCCCTCCAACACCATCCACCAACACACTGTGTATTGGGTAAGGCCAACAATTGTAATTAATACAACTTGATATTCAATATTTTGAAATTATTGTAAAGTAGATAAATTTCGATGATTTGGTGTAGTGACATAAAAGATGTGCCAGCTTACCTCTGTAAAGTTGAAGCTACATTCACTAGATGACTCCACCCCACTGGAGGATGCCCGGTCGTGGGCCTGCGTTAGTATATGCTCCGTATCACTGTTTACGGGAGTTTCATCCGATTTTTTACTGCTGCTATTAGATCCCGAGGAGTTCCGAATGGAAGACACGACATTAGAATCAATGGAACTCACTTTAGAGTGATAAGTATCACTAGTAGTATTAATCCTTTTGGAAGACACAGATGAAGTATAATCCGGGGTTATAATCCCAGACTCCTTGTTACGATAAAATGGCACATTTTCGTAAACCCCCTCCCCTATATCCCTAGGGAACGGGCCAGGCCCAGGGATATTACTAGTGTATTCATTAGAATGATCCGACAAATGACCTTGACCTCCTGAAGTGCGAAGATACATTTCACACCGTTCCATTCGGACAGATTTTTCTACTTCTGCCGAATCTATAGATTGGTTGAGAGACACATGGTTATTTAGGCTGTTAACAGACACATCCTCTTGGCCAGACTTTTGTGTGTGAACAACATCCAACTTGGAAGACACGTTTTCTTTGCTGTTTGATTTACGACTTTTAACACTGGAGTTGTCGTCTGATTTTTTACTAGAGGAAGACAGACTTTCACTGCTCGACACTTTCACACTTTGATTTTGTAGATCTTCATACCGCATCATCCTGCGTCCAATCTTCGGGCTCCTGCTGCCCATGATCGGAGAGAAATGTGGACTTTTGAGAGGCTCCTCAGGAGAAATTTTATTGCGATTTCTCTCTTCAATGAAACTCCTTCTCAGTGGCTCCCCACCTATGATGGGGCGGCGTTTTATCGTTCCCGTGTCCTCAGAGTTCCCACCGGACGATTCTTCCTCAGAGTTTGAAGAATTGGAGTTACATCGCCGGACTTGAAATCCCACCATGTCCTTGTGGGGATTGTTTGGCGATGACAACATTGTGAGTGAACCATTGGTTTTGATCTTTGACATTGAGCTACGGAACTCAGACTTGTCTTTTCTGTCAAGTGAACTAGTTCCATCCTGGTCGTTCAAGTTCAATAATTGGTTTGGTCGCTGTACAGGTCTACGTTCAACGTCATCCTGATTTTGTTGTAACAGTCCGGGTTTCTGAGAAGCTTGAACTATCTGTTGTTCTCTCTCCTTGCGATTTAAGGTTGCAGCTGATTCAGAAATTAACTGGTGGATTTCAGGGGTGGAGTCTTTTTGCTTACCCTCCCTGGAACCAGCCGGTAGGGCATCCTCAAATCCCGCCGGTGGTTCTATAATTTGGCGTTGAGAATTAGCAGGTGAGTTAGAATACTGCCAGTTCATCTCCTGTGTGGTATTGTTCTGTGAGTTTTTGGTAGATTTAGACTGCTGTCCACCGCCCGCCATGTTGGCGCCCATGTGATCAGTTACGGAGACGGACTTGGCTAAAGAGTATATAAACTCCCCACTGTTTTCACTTGATTTAGGAGACCTGATTACCCCCTGTTGTTTGTCTACCATTAACTTGTGGGAAGGTGAAATTATTTTGTTTTCCTCTGCAACATATTTTGGACTTGATGAAGAAGGTTTTGTTTCGTCCAAGATAGTTTTGGGCGAAGAAGTGATAAATTCTCTAACATCAGGATGTAAATTTTGCATATTTTGATTTTGTGAGAACCCATTGACTCTTACTTCCTGTTGCCTTGGTGAACCCTGACCTCTGATTTTTTGACCTTCATATTCTGCCATGGGCGGTAGACTTGGTCTTTGTAAGTAGGATGGACTCTGCATGGCTGGCGATCCATCCCTACGGTTGTCAGGAGAGCTAACTACCATATTCTCATACGACCCATATTCTACGTTTAGTCCTGGTGATTGAGATATCTGTCCCTGATAGACAGAGGGGCTGTTGTTTGACCCCAGGAAATTTGGAGGCGATTTGTAGCTGAATGTTCCATTTGCTGTTGGAGTGGTCTGCCCTGGTAGGTTTGACGGTGAGGTGGGCGTCAAGCTTCCATCCCTATCCTCAACAGATTCCACTGATTTGTTGTTGTTTTCCAAAAACTCCTGCATGGACCAGGGTTTCAGCAGGGGAGGTTTCGTTTGACCAAGCACACTAGAAACAGAACTTTTTTCACTACCTTTTTCATCTTCAATTTGTTTCTCATACTCTGCACACATATTTAATATTTCCTCTAATCGTTGTTTTTCCAGACGTTCCATTTCCTGTTCCTTTTTCCGCTCGGAGACCATTTCCTGGTGTTTGATGGACAAGTCTTGTTGACTTGAAGTCAGTTCATTAAAATCAAAGTCCATTCCATCAAATGTGTTCCGATTACTTTCACTGCCAGGGTCAAACTCTGGCTTCTTCGTTGGACTAATAGATGAAAGGAGATCACCATTCATAATGCTTTCTGCTAGAGACTCTGCAGTTGTCGCCATGACAACCTTAGTGCTAGCTAAATCAGGTGTTCGCATCCTGGTCACTGATTGGTCAGTTCGGGGAGTTGTACTACCGGATGATGAAGTGTGTAGTGTCTTGCTACTGGACAAAGATTCGTCAGATTTTGACGAGTCAGAATTTGAGTTCCAACTTAAAGTAGCACCACCACTAACACTACTGACGCTGGTCAGTGAGCCGGAACTGTTACTTCCTGTACTGACAACACGTTCGTTGTTTCCTGTTCCTGTATTTCCCCGTAAGACACTGAGTGACACACGTGTTGTAGCGGTCTCTTTACTAAACACCTTCTCTCCGGAGTATGTCCCTGGACTCTGTCCTGGTCGAGATTTCTGACGTTCCATTGACTTTGCAGGATAAGTAGGCGTATTCGCCGTCTTTCCCGGTTCTGGTATATACTGCCTAGCCAGTGGAGATCTGGTCGTGGATGACGAAATACTCTGTTGAGAATAAAGAGACGGATCGTATCGTTCGTGTTCTGGCGAGAAAAATTTATTGGTGGGTGACTTGGCAGTGGGGGAGTTCTTCCCACGCGATATTAATTCAAATTTGCAGACTTTGTTCATAAAATCATCCTGCTCATTACTTTCAGAAATGGAGTCTTTGGGTGACCGACTGACCGACCGAAGAGACTGACCCCTTTCCGTAGGTCCGATAGGATAGGACCGGTCAGAGCCTGATGATGACCGGCGCTGGAGATTGCTGGCCGCATTGGACATCATCTGCATGTATTCCGGATTGTCCTCCAGGTCTGAAACAGACAAAACACAATCAGTTACAGCAACACTAACAACAGACAAAAACAACCTCAATAGATCAAGCTCATTCAGGAAACATATATTATTCACCTATACTGCAGACAGCGCTGTAAAAGTCACCTGTGATTTTGTGCAGTGTTGTATTTTCACATTTTAATTTATAACAAGTTTGAAGTTTAGAGAAAATAACCTATGTAGTATTACCTGACCATAGAAGTGTGCAGTTTTATTGAATTTGTGATTTTACCTTACAGCAAAATTATACTGTAACCAATTATCTCACATAACAGGAGTGTTGAGATAAATACACTATATATCTATCACATACTACCTCGTATTTCTGGGTATGAATTCCTGTGATACGACCAGTTGTGATGTCATCAGTTGATAATGAAATGATGTCAAACTTCATGAAATATACATTTCCCCTTCAAAACTGATGGAATTGATATCAAGTGGTGAAATATAAATGAATGTCTTACAATTTGTATTTCAAACACTGAAATGGACATATATGGTTGACAGTACTAATTTCTAGTTTTTCTTATTACAATTTACACAGGCTGTCAGTACCAGTCAGCTGGTTTCTAATATAAATTGTTTTTTACCAATAAAAATATCATCATCTTTCCAAATATCACAGACAAAAACACTATAACCATTGAGATAGTTATTTTGTTTGACTTTTTTTCACAATTCAATTATGATTATCTTTCAAACTCAAAACAATTAAAACAGAAACAAAGTTACCATGACAAAATGAACCTATATATTGTCAGACACGTAATATTTCTCAATAACAAACAATGCTCTTATATTAAACAACATTACCAAAGCGCTTCAGGAATTGTTCCAACAACATGGTTATCCAAATCACCAGAGCAGGAATATATGTGTTTTGTAAACATACAATATGTCAAATCCGCCTCCTCTCACATCAAAATTTGAATATTTGAGATGAAATCGTACAATGTGACCGGTCCCATTTCACTATAAGTTAAGTGTAGGAGAAATGTGGACGGACAGGTTTGGTGAATATTGATGTTACATAATGGTGTCTGGTTATAATGGGACTTCAATATCAGATAAACCTCTCGATCGTCATAGAAACCCGTCTGGCTCCTCGACAAGCCATTAGCAATGAAGTCATATGTAGTCACATTACACCACTGCCTTCTTATTAATACACAGAATTCAGAAATGTGTTAATTTGAAATATGATTTCATAATGTAAGTTTGTAATTACACTATAGACAGTTGAAATTAAAATAACGAAAATGCATCAAATGTAGAACTCTATGAATCTAAGAGGCATAAAATGTCCAAATATCAAATTAGCAAGCTATTATTATTATATCCTAAGCTTTTCATATTTTTTCAATTTCAAATATTATCGAGACATATTTGTTTGGAACATTTCCCATTCTTTCATGTGCATGTCAAAGATACACCTTAAGTACCATTTCTGAGTTTTTAACAAAACAATTCCAAATATACTGAAAGTGCATTCCAAATCAATATATATATATATATATTTGACTATTTTGGTAGAAATTCTCTATAATAACCTGCTCACAGCATTCCTTATTCAATTATTTTGGCCTCAAAGTTTCACCTACAAAATATTTATAATTATGAATTCCACTTTTGACCTTTAATTGAGCCAGAAAAACATGGTCAGAAAACCCATATATAACTGTGAGGAGAATATTAATATTGTATCTGTCAACACTGGGGTCTCCGACCTAGAAACCTCCTTTATTTGTAAGCCACAGTCTATCACACAGGACAGTGAAGAACAGACTCTGTAAACACAATCAGATTCATTCTGGACTTTAATCAAAGAAAGTCATACAACACAGGGCTTATTTCTCCTCTACGATTATGACACATTCCCGAATATCTACACACACACAACAGGAGCCAATAGACAGGTCATCACAAACCTAAACGTGTGTCCACTTCTTTTGATTCATCTTCTCTAGGCGTTACCGACATCTGTCTTGATCCCCAAGCTTTAAAAATCCACTATGATGTCCGGACTTGGATAGCTAGGGTATCAATATTGGACTCATTCAACGCCCGCAATGTTGGACCGACATCCTGCGTGTATATCCATGCAGTGACGGAATATGGACTAATTAACAAGGTTCTACAGTACATATGATGTACAAAGTGTCCAGAATATGAAGGTTCCAATATACACAAAAAATGTCCAGACTATTGAAGTTCCACTGTACACAAAAACCAAAGTTCCTGGCTAACAAGGTTCCACTGTACACACAAACCAAAGGTCCTGGCTAACAAGGTTCCACTGTACACACAAACCAAAGGTCCTGGCTAACAAGGTTCCACTGTACACACAAACCAAAGGTCCTGGCTAACAAGGTTCCACTGTACACACAAACCAAAGGTCCTGGCTAACAAGGTTCCACTGTACACACAAACCAAAGGTCCTGGCTAACAAGGTTCCACTGTACACACAAACCAAAGGTCCTGGCTAACAAGGTTCCACTGTACACACAAACCAAAGGTCCTGGCTAACAAGGTTCCACTGTACACACAAACCAGTGTCCAAACTAGCATCGAAGGTATAAATATGTTATCACATACGAGTGAATTAGGATATTTAGCTCTGGTGTACACAGGACATTCGGACTAGAATTATGATGATGTCTGTATCCTGGTGGTCACTGATCCAGGTAATAGATATGTATGTGACAGGTAGGGACATTTACACCTGTAACAGGTGTGTCCACTGACGGGACAGTAATCATACCTGACATGTTTTACTGGAGGGGAGACTGGTCACGTAACACTTCACACCTATAGCCTGGTTTGTTAAATATAAATATATCTCTTACCTTATGGACAAACTCATGTAAAAAGTATCTGTCTAATATTTACCAAAATTGTCCTGTAGTGTTGATAAAGTTTGTCAACTAATATTGACCAAGTGTGTCTGCAATCATTGACCAAGTTGGTCTGCTAGTATTGACCACGATTGTCTGCTAGTAATGTATTGACCAAATTGGTCTGCTAACATTGACCAAGTATGTCTGCTAGTACTGACCAAGTTGGTCTGATAGCATTGACCAAGTTTGTCTGCTAGGATTGATTAAGTTGGTCTGCTAGCTTGATGAAGTTGGTCTATTGGTCTGCTAGCATTGATAAAGTTGGTCTATTGGTCTGAAAGCATTGACCAAGTTTGTCTGCTAGCATTGATCAAGTTTGTCTGCTAGTATTGATCAAGTTGGTCTGCTAGCATTGATCAAGTTGGTCTGCAAGCATTGATCAAGTTTGTTTGCTAGTATTGATCAAGTTGGTCTGCTAGCATTGATCAAGTTGGTCTGCAAGCATTGATCAAGTTTGTTTGCTAGTATTGATCAAGTTGGTCTGCTAGCAGTGATCAAGTCTGTGTGCTAGTACTGACCAAGTTGGGCTGATAGCATTTACCAAGTTTGTCTGCTAGTATTGATCAAGTTTGTCTGCTAGTATTGATCAAGTTGGGCTGATAGCATTGATCAAATTGGTCTGCTAGCATTGATCAAGTCTGTCTGCTAGTACTGACCAAGTTGGGCTGATAGCATTGACCAAGTTTGTCTGCTAGTATTGATCAAGTTTGTTTGCTAGTATTGATCAAGTTTGTCTGCTAGCATTGATCAAGTTGGTCTGCTAGCATTGATCAAGTTTGTTTGCTAGTATTGATCAAGTTGGTTTGCTAGTATTAATCAAGTTGGTCTGCTAGTATTGACACAGTCTGTTTGCTAGTATTGACACAGTCTGTCTGCTAGTATTGACACAGTCTGTCTGCTAGCATTGACCAAGTTTGTCTGCTAGTATTGACACAGTCTGTCTGCTAGTATTGACACAGTCTGTCTGCTAATATTGACACAGTCTGTCTGCTAGTATTGACCAAGTCTGTCTGCTAGTATTGACACATTCTGTCTGCTAGTATAGACACAGTCTGTCCGCTAGTATTGACACAGTTTGTCTGCTAGTATAGACACAGTCTGTCCGCTAGTATTGACACAGTCTGTCTGCTAGTATTGACACAGTCTGTCTGCTAGTATAGACACAGTCTGTCTGCTAGTATTGACACAGTCTGTCTGCTAGCATTGACAGTCTGTCTGCTAGTATTGACCAAGTCTGTCTGCTAGTATTGACACAGTCTGTCTGCTAGTATTGACACAGTCTGTCTGCTAGTATATATTGACACAGTCTGTCTATTAGTGTAAATCAAGTCCGTCCACATGCACACACATGTTTTGATATAGATGTTTTAAAACAATTGATTCATTGTTAAACATGTTTATATTTAGCACTGCTTTTGTTCGTGGAACTTGGAAATGATATTGATCAAACCTCATCTCTACTTGCCAAATATGTGCTGATTGTTTGACAATAGATTTTATCAATGCACTGGTCATTTGTCAGTGCCAGGACACCTGGCTGGGGCTGTAAACTGACCATCAATCAAACCTTAATTGAATCCCCACCATCCAGGTAATACAGGTGTCTGATGGATGACCCAGTTACAGGTAGTGATTGTATATACAATGGTGGGAGAGATGGAAGCTTGTCCCATTATCCTGAATATCTATAAATATAGAAAGATTTAATCAATTGTCCTTGAGGCTTTAAAACTGATGAGTGATTCTGCTCGCTTATAACTTACGTGTCCATATCATGTGACTTTATAAATTGTGTAGAATGTTATCAAAATATATGAAAATTGTTCAATTTAACTTAAATGATCTTTAATAGTTTCCATTTTATATGAAATTTATATAACAATCAAATGATTTTTATTTTAAAATAACATTGTACAGGATTCTACCCTAACCTCCACACTCAAACTTGCGAACTCTCCATTTTTTGGAGGAGACTCCCGATTTTGGACCCTAAAGTTGAGCATTTCCAACCAGTGCTGTACTATCACTATTTTCTAAGATCTGATGATTTCATCTGAAAGAACAGCTCAAAAGATGCT